ATTTCTTAATAAAATTATAAATTTTAATATAGAGAGAAAATTTCAATTTTTACTATATTTTATTAATAAATTTAGCTCTGAATTATTACTTTTGATTATTATTATATAATAATTATAGAAAGATTTAATTATATAAATATTAAATAAACAAAAATTATTTATTATATTAAAATTTTTATATAAATTTTTATTATAAATTAATGAATAAATATTATTACTAGTAATAGTATTAAATTTTTTTTGTGAAAAAATTATTAGTACTTTGATATAATCATCTTGTTAGAAATATTAATTAGTTTAATTAATTATTCTAGAGTGAAATTTTGCAAGAAACATTTTTTCTTAGAATACAAAAGGCAGTTTTATATATAAAATTTTGAGTTATCATTATTTTTTGAAAAATCATTTGTTTTTTAAAATTTTTTTGATCTCACAATTTAATTTTATTATACACGAATTCTGCAATTTTAGTGGTCGATCAAACAATCCGGTGCTGTCGCCAGTGGCGACAAATAGATTCATCCTAAATTAATAATAATTTATTTATTTTTAATTAAATAAATATTATAAATCTTAATATTTATTTAAACTTAAATTTATTATTCTTGAGATATTATTAATATAAAAAAAATAATTATTTAGCTTTATTTTTTAACTATAAGTTTTTTTCTGAATGATTAATATTATATAATAATATTTAAAATTATTATTTTATTTTAATAATTAAATAAATTATATAATTAATAATATTCATTTATTAAAAATTATTTAAGCTAAATAAGTTATTCTTGAATTATATATTTCTTATTTTATAATTCTTAAATTAATAGACAAATTTATCTGTCTTACAGCATAAGAATAATATGTACTGATTCTCAATAATCACTGTATTATTTGACATGTAAAAAAGAAGGTTTGAAATATCTTGATTTTTTTTCTTTATATTTGCTGTATTCTAAAAAATTCCTTAAATCCACGTTATGTTACGGAACATGTGATTTTTAAGGGGTAAACCAATCAAATTACAAAAATATGAAATGTTACCAGCATTTTTATAGGCAAAATTTTGAGGTACAAAAATATTGAATTTTCCGTTACACATTGTTCTTGCAATTTGATTGGTTCTACCCTTCAAAATCACATGATTCGTAACTTTTTTCTTGGTGTGGGTCTTAATACTCACTAGGACTCGAGATATTGAGCGCCAAAGGGGTCTTGATTTATTTTTGACGAACACTTTTATGTGCAGCTTCTTTGGGACTCAATATCTCGAGGCACACAGACGGCAAGCGAGTATAAAGCTGATCATTCGATTTGGTAAATCAAATAGTGGGCATTTCCGCCACCGGATCTCGAGATATTGAGCCCCGAAAAGGCCGTACGTGAAATTACTCATTATTACGGATTTAATTATTTTGTGCAAATATTAATTGCGAACTTTTAACCAATTACGAACAACGCATCAATTATGAACTTTACAACAATTACGTCTTTTATACCAATTACGAGCATTACATCAATTACGGCAAAAATTACGATTTTAAGTCAAAAAGTTGCAACCTTTCAACTTTATTAAACCTATTACGGCATGCAACACTATCTTTTCTAGGCTGTTGCATTTTTCAAATAAGCAATAGTGTCATTTCTTTCTTTCTCTTTCTTGAATCCAGCAAATGCCATTTTAGTACCAGGAATATACCTATTTATCATTATCAATATTTAATGAAAACTAAGACGAAAATGAAAATGGACATAATTATAAGAAAAACATACTTTTTCGGATTTTCAAGATAATCGAATAATGTGTCTTCGTTCCAAACTACTCCTTTCTGCTGATTTGCAGCTGTATATTGGAATCCGGGCACGGTACCTGATTTACGACCGAATAAACCGTGCAAATTTGGCCCAACTTTATTTGCGCCACCTGCTTCTACTGTATGGCATTGAGCACATCGAGTTTTGAAACTACATATTTAAAAGGGTGTATTTTTTATTTTCGTTATAATCATAAAACGGAATAGATCAAATAAAAATGGATCGAATCAAAACACTGAGCTTTTTTATTTGACGGTTACTTACAGTTTTGCCCCATTAACCGGGTCACCTATTTTTTTTATATAAGAACGAGAAATAAACATTTAATAAAAAGACAGGTACACATTTATTATTCTCGGAACGAAAAAAAAAACTTCATAGAAACTAAAAGAAATTTATTGAACTTTTTACATTATAAAACTTACCAGCAGTATAAGGCATGATTTTATTTTTTTATTTTAAATATATTGATTAAAAAAAAAGTCGGGTCAAAAAAAAAACGAACGAGTAGTTCTTTATTCATCGTGATTTGATTAATGATGATCGAGATGATGAATATGATGAATGCTAATAAACAAATTAAATTTTGTTTATGCAACTCCTCATGACATATGCAGGTACCGCGTCAGTCTAGCATAAAGGGTAGAAGTTCAACTTACTTCCCGAATCTACGATTTTAATTCCGTAATTTCCATAATGGATCGGTGTCGATCACTAATAAATATAGAAAGCAGATTATTTAGATTTCAATTTCGACACAAACTTTTAAAGCATGTCGGATACTGGAGATTGGTGTCTCATTGAAAGTGACCCAGGTTAGTCATGTTCTATTTTGTTTATTGGTGAATAGTTTAAGCGTTTGATTAAACGTCGTATCCAATTGCAGGTGTCTTTACAGAGTTAATAAGAAAATTTAACGTTGAAGGCATTCAAGTTGAGGAAGTTTGGAGCTTGGACGAACAAACCTTGGAAGATCTCAAGTGAACAACTTTTTTTAAAAAAAAATGAATAACTCATTAACTCTAAAAATACTAATCTTATTATGAACTTGCAACAAGGCCTGTTTATGGTCTCATATTCTTGTTCAAATGGCAAGGGGGAAACGATAGTTCACAGCATCATCCCGATGCTGATTTGAATATAAATGAACAAGTCTATTTTGCTAAACAAGTAGCTATTGAGTTTATTCTTTCTACTCTAATTGATCGATATCTAATTGAAAATAATTCTGCAGGTAATCAATAATGCATGCGCAACACAAGCTATTCTTTCTATTCTTTTTAATTGTCCAATGATTAAACTCGGAGAAGATCTTGATGCCTTTAGAGAATTCACAAAAGAGTTTGATCCTTATGTATGTTCTTGTGATACCTCTATCTCTATATAATTTATAAATTTTGTTCCTCTCAATTTCCTCACTAAATCATTTTTTGTTTGATTAAGAACAAAGGCTTAACGATTACAAACAGCGAAATTATACGATCTGTACATAATAGTTTTGCTAGATCAGATCCTTTTGTGTCCGATTCAAAGGTAGCCGCTACAGAAAAAGATGATTTGTTCCATTTCATTTCTTACGTGCCAATTAATGGTGCATTATTTGAATTGGATGGACTTAGTGCTGGACCAGTAAATCTTGGTAAATGATCAGGATTGATTTTATTTATTATGTTATTTTGCATGCATTTTTCTAATATGTTACTTTATATGTAAAAGGTCCTTGTACAGAAAACGATTGGTTAGATAAAGTTCGACCCGTAATACAGGAGAGGATGGCACGCTACACATCGGCAGAAATTCGTTTCAATCTAATGGCATTAATCAAAAATCGAGAAGTCGTATACAGGGAACGTATATCAGTCTTGGATGAACGTATACGGGAAACTACTGGAAATAATAATGAGCAAGACATCATTGAAAAGGAGCTTTTGTTGCAAAAAATAGACTTGGAAAAAGAAAAGTTCCGGAGATATGAGGTTCGTAAGTTTAAACATCAGTTGCAGATTGTTATGATTAATCATACGTGATTTTTTTGTTTTTATGCATGATTAGCGTGAGAATTCTCTTCGCAAGCACAATTTCATACCATTGATCTATAATCTTATTCGTATATTGGCTGAACGTGGAGAATTACAACCTCAGTTTGAACATGCAAAAAAACAAGCACAAATAAGAAAAGAACAATCAGAGAAGAGAAAAGGTGAAAGTTCTGGATCGAAATGATAATACACATATTTATTAGTAAAAATACATGCGTCAACAATTTAGCTGTTATATAAAAAAGTAAATGGGTAGTTTATTTGTATATGAAAGAAATTATTTAATTTACCCCATAATTCAAAATTGACTAAAATTTATTCTTTTCGCTAAATTAATTGTGCTGTTTAATTTATTTTTTCGTACCGCCACGATCTTTTACTTGCAATCCTATGACGCCACCATCTTCCATGTTATAATAAGCTAATGTGACTTGATTTTTCATTACAACGCCATTACCACCCAGTGTTAGTTTTTGTCTTCCTGCTGGAAAACCTAAACTAGTGGCAATTTTATCCTTTACAGCTGAAACTAAAGTCGTTAGAGGTAGATTTGAAAAAACTAAAGTTTGTCCGTGACATTTCCATTCAGGTTTCTCAGGTATAGAAGGACACTGAATTTGAATAGTTATGGCAGCCTAAAAAAAATAAAAGGTGATTATTAGAAACTGTTTAAATGTCAATATTGATACTGTAATAGTTAGGATAGCTTACTTTATTATTAGATAACCAAACATCTTCAGCAATAAGGCCACCATTCGCGTCTAATTTTTGTCGCTTTGTAGGGGGGTTTAATTCTGTTTCATCTTCATGACCTTCACCAGAAGTCGATAACGATCCTTGAGCCATAAGAGGTGCCGGTGGAAGAGGGGCTGAAGACGGTTGAGCGGGTCGATGTTGCATGGGTGTTGCAGGAGGACGCGAAGGTATTGCTTGACCTGCACCTGGAGAAGACATAGGCGGAATATACCCAGGAAGCTGATGTGCAAAGGGAGCGGATGAATGCACATAACTTGAATACATAGCAGCATTCGGTCCTTGAGGTACGACGGAATTAATGGAATGTGATGGATATGCAGTGAAAACAGACTGCTGATTGCTATGTAAAGATTGTGAAGTTTGTTGCATTTGTTGATGCTGTAACATTTGTTGATGTATAGAAGTCTGTTGGTGATGTAATTGCTGTTGTGAATCCTGTGATAATGGTATTCTCGGACCAATCTTTGAATCACTGTCACTAATATTTAGGAAATTAGTTAGTAATCAAATAGAAATCCGCCAAGAAATATTATTGAGGAAAGGGGTACCTTGTTAACCCTTTGCTTCTATGGATGGCGGCAATTTGTTCGTCTATTGATACGCCAGCAGCAGCACGCTGAGTAGCCATGTTAATCGAAGCAGTATGTCCATCCCAAACAACTTTTTCTTTTTCAATTCTTTTTCTTTTCTCTTCCTCTTCTCCAATCTAAAAAAATAAATTTTTATAAATTAAAAATAATTTCTAACTGATCTTTTAAGATTATTTTCACAAGCTGGATACATACTTTACGACCAATTTCAGTTTCTTCAGTACCGAATATATCGGAACGATATCCTGAGAAGGCTTTCAAATTCTTGGCAACATCCGTTCCTTTTATTTATTAGTAAAATTAAAATTATTATTCTTAATAAAGATGACTAGACGCGATAATTTTAGAATTATAAAATAGAGTTCTTACCCTCTTGTAGCAAATTAGATTCTTTCTTTTTAGCTTCTGCTGCCTGTTTCTGTTCTTTCCATTTAGGATCCAATAATTCGACACGGACGTGCTGATCCATTTCATCTACCGGAACTGCTTGATTACAACGAGGACATATCTGAGTAGGTTTTCCAGCCGAAGTCTTAGGACCAAGTACTATTTATTTTATAAAAAAGGAATTTAATTAATTAATAATCAATTTGACAAATTCAAATAATTAGAGGAACTCACTTTTAGGTGTATAATCTTTTCGAATTTTAATAGGAACACTGGCATCAGGCGGTTTAATTTCTACATATGCAGGCTCTTGTTCTGGTTCTGCATCCTCTTCATTTTCTTGAGGTATTTGCTCATCATCTTCTTCCATATCAATATCCTCGTCCATCTGTAATTCAAATAAGCATAAGAAATAAATTTATATAGAATATATGATGTAAAAAATCAACGTACCTCCATATCCATCTCTGCGCCTTTATCTTCTTGTTGAATATCCAATACAACAGAAGCCATTTTTTTTTGCGCTAAAGTCATATTTTCTAATTCCATTATACTCATGGGAGGAGGAAGGTCAATAGTTTCATCAGCTTCTGTGAATTCAACCGTCTCAACAATTACGAAATCATGCCAGTCAATAGATGCATATGCAACTATGAATTACAAAAAATTGAATTTCTATTAATATTTTTCATTCATATATATATTAATAATAAAAATAACATACTTTTTTCTTGATCTTCCTTTTCTTCTGCTTTCTTCCTTTCTTCTTCTTGAAATGCAGCATATTCAACACGTTGCATAACTCGATTCAAGATTTGATATTTATTTTCGGTGTTTGCCTTCAATTTTTCATTCAGATTCTTTGGAGGTATTAAAACTTTTGTGTACTGTTCAACTAATTTTGTGAAATAGTTGAACAAACTATGGTTCGGTCTTAGAAAATCAAACTGATAATTTCGCTGTTCGCGCTGTGACAAAGCGGTCATAAATTGTCTTCCATTACGAGCTACAAATTGTGCGGTAAGCTTAAGAATATCACTAATAATGTATATCTTGTAGTGTAAGTCAAAATATTTTGAAATTAAATGAAAAATACTGTCGATTATTACTTACAGATCCTGAGCCGAAATTGCTGGCATATCGGTCATAAATTCGAATGCAGGTGGCTCTTTCGGCGGTGCCTTGGGAGAAGGCCCTTCAGTTTTCTTTTCAGGCTTTATATCTCTAGCTTCGATTTTTTTAGGAACTACCAAGACACAATATTAACATTTAGTAAGAGGAACAAAAATCACGAAACACTCATGCAATTAATGTCATAAATACCTTTGCCTTCTTTAGTCTCTGTAATTTTATATTGGTAATAAGCATGGTACGGATCGTTAGGATTCAAGAAACTAAACTTGGCGTTATGCTTTTCATTTTCTCGAATTCGTTCTTCAAATTGAACACCATTTCTGGCCACAAAAACCGCCGTTCTATCCACAATATCTATAATAAACAGGGTTAAGGATTACAAACAAGATTTACACGTAAATTGGATCAAGTGTCCAAACTTTCAATTCTTGATCATATTAAAACAGCACCTTATTAAGTTTTTGTTACTGTAAATGTCACAGAAATAGAATTCTCTTTTTTAAAAAATACGTGCATACTATAAACGATTGAGAAATCAAATCACGAAAGAAAAACGATGACAAAGTAAGGATACTTCTAATATCCGGCGGTGGATAAATAATTCCCACCAAAGGTTTAGAATCGTCTTCATTGTTATTAGATTTTTCTTCAGCTACTTTAGTGGGAGGGGCTTTTCTTGCAGCTTCAGTAGAATTGGACAGAGTTTCTGATTGTGTAAGTGACACCATTTTCGCTTTTTAGTAATCAATTCTTCAGGATATTTGACTTTGCAAGCTCGTGATGTAAAGATATTTTGCCGATCAACCAATGATATTCGTAAGTTTGGATAATAATAACGATAATACTAATAAATCGGGAAGATTGCTTTGAATTTTGCGATTTGAGCTATGTCCCGTATGGCTAGTCGTGATGAACAGAAAAAGAAGCGAAGCAATCAAGAAAGAAATTGTGAAGAAGCAAACCGGACACCTAATGGAGACGAATCTTTAAAAAAACGTCAAAAAACAACAGATACTAGTCATAATCCTTACTTGGCACATCTAACCAATCAACAACTCACCTCTAATATTAATTCTAGAAGTCCTCTCGACGGCTTGATACCTGGCAGAACAACAGCCGAACAAGCTATGAAAGCCGAGGACGGAGATATCAATCTTTTTACGAATAAACCATTTTCTCCCGAGTATTATAAACTTTTAAAAATTCGTCGAAATTTACCCGTTCATGCACAAAGACAAGAGTTCCTCGACTTGATACATAATCACCAATTTATTGTGTTTGTTGGGGAAACAGGTTCGGGTAAAACTACACAGTAAGCTGTTCTCTAAATTAAAAATTTTTAATGATCTTCCTTTGTCTTATGATTAATTAAACTAAATCCTGGTAAATATTACAGAATCCCTCAATTTTTGTGTTATGACGAGTTACCCCATCAAAAAAAAAAGCAGATTGCATGTACTCAGCCTAGACGTGTTGCAGCAATGTCTGTTGCAAAACGTGTTGCTGATGAGATGGATGTTAAGTTAGGAGAAGAAGTTGGTTACAATATTCGTTTTGAAGATTGTTCAGGGCCAAAGACTATATTAAAATATTTAACGGATGGTATGCTTCTTCGTGAAGCAATGAATGATCCCAAACTTGAGAGATACTCTGCTATTATTCTTGACGAGGCACATGAACGTACACTCGCGACTGATATCCTTATGGGTCTTATTAAAGAGGTATGATAATACCCTATTTTCCTCATAAGATTAAAGTGTTTATTAGGTAGCTAATCTAAATTAAAATCAATAGATTGCAAGGAAAAGGCAAGACTTGAAAGTAGTTGTAATGAGCGCAACTCTCGATGCGGAGAAATTTAAAAAATATTTTAATAATGCGCCCGTGCTGGTATTTAATTAGTAAAAAAAATTTTTGCTTTATTTAAGATCTACTTTGGCTTTAATTAACTCAAAATTAATTATATTTAGACAGTGCCTGGTAGAACATTTCCAGTGGAAATTTATTATACGCCTGAAGCAGAGCGAGATTATTTAGAAGCAGCTATTCGCACTGTAATGCAAATTCATGCATGTGAAGATGAAGGTGATATTCTATTATTTCTGACTGGAGAAGAAGAAATAGAAGATGCATGTCGTAAAATTAAACAAGAATCAGAAGAGTTGATGAGACAAAGCGAAGTAGGCCCTTTAAAAGTTTTGCCATTATATTCATCTCTTCCACCTCAACAACAACAACGTATATTCGAAGAGCCTCCTGTTGGTGCAAATGGGAAACTTGGGCGTAAAGTCATCGTGTCAACGAACATTGCTGAGACTTCTTTAACTATCGATGGAATTGTTTATGTGGTAGATCCCGGCTTTAGTAAACAGAAAGTGTACAATCCTCGTATACGTGTAGAATCTTTGCTTGTCAGTCCGATAAGCAAGGCGTCAGCACAACAGAGAGCTGGCCGTGCTGGTCGAACACGTGCTGGGAAATGTTTTCGACTTTACACTGAAAAAGCTTTTATAAAAGAATTACAAGAACAAACATTTCCAGAAATTTTACGTAGTAATTTGGGTAGTGTTGTACTTCAGTTAAAAAAACTGGGAATAGACGACCTTGTGCATTTTGACTTTATGGATCCTCCTGGTAAATCAATATGAAATCTGGCATTTTTTTGGTTTTAACATTGCATAATTCTGCATAATTCTAAAGGTAAAGATAAAATAATAGCACCCGAAACGCTTATGCGCGCTCTTGAATTATTAAATTATTTGGGAGCACTTGACGATGAAGGCGAACTTACTGCCGATGGAAATATAATGGCTGAATTCCCACTTGATCCACAACTTTCAAAAATGTTGATTGAAAGTCCAAAGTATAAATGCTCAAACGAAATATTGTCAATTACAGCTCTATTATCGGGTACTTATGTCTTTTTGATGCGTTTTACAATCCTTCAAGTTTCCTATTACTTATCTTTTCTAACTGTAATCTTTGGTATTCTAAGTACCAAATGTGTTTTTGCGGCCTAATGAACTCAAGAAACAAGCTGACGAAGCAAAGGCAAAATTTGCTCATTCAGACGGTGATCATTTAACTTTGTTAAATGTCTACCACGCTTATAAATCAAGTAAGTGATTGATGTTTTTCTTCTTTTTTTACATATCAATGACTAATTACATAATTTTCCCTGCAATAGATAATAATAATGATCTCGAATGGTGCTATACTAATTTTCTCAGTAGCCGCTCCTTAAAATCTGCGGATAATGTGCGCCAGCAGCTTAAGCGTATTATGGAACGATGTGATGAAGAATTAATTAGTACACCTTTTGACAACAAGAATTACTATGTGAATATACGTAAGGCTTTAACAGCCGGATTCTTTATGCAAGTAGCACATTTAGAAAAATCTGGTCATTATTTAACCTGCAAGGACAATCAGGTAATTTAGCGTTTTATTGAAAATTATTTGTTTTACACATTTAAATCGATTGGCTGATACATAACTTTCTCAATTTTAGGTTGTGCAGCTTCACCCTTCTTCTTCACTTGGACATCAACCCGAATGGGTCCTGTATAATGAATTCGTTCTTACCACTAAGAATTACATTCGTACTGTAACAGAAGTCAAAGCGGAATGGTAGTTGTTTTACCTTGTTATTGATATTATTACTTATTATTGAGGTTAAATATTTATTATATTATTTATTTAATTTTAATTTACAGGCTTTTGGATATTGCTCCCTCATACTATGAACTAAAAAATTTTCCAAAATGCGAAGGAAAACGTGAATTAGAAAAGATTGCAATGCGCAAAAAACGCAAAACTTATACATAAAATTTTAAAGATTGTATATCCTAGTGTTGCATGCCGTAATATGTTTAATAAAGTTGAAGGGTTACAACTTTTTGACTTTAAAATCGCAATTTTTGCCATAATTGATGTAATATTCGTAATTGGTATAAATTCGTAGTTGTAAAGTTCTTAATTGATGCATTATTCGTAATTGGTGTAAAAGTTCGCAATTAAAATTTGTACAAAATGAAAGTACGGCCTCTATCTCGATGGCGAAGAAAGTTACAAATCATGTGATTTAAGGGTAAACCAATCAAATCGCAAGATCAATGTATAACGGAAAGATTCATAATTCAAGAAGCCATATGTGAATTTGCATATCATCGATTGACACGGGATATTGTACCTTCATATATTAAAACTTTTAGGCCTTGGCTGGAATCAGGATTACAATCCAGGCTGTAATCCGAAATGTCCGTAATTATTACTTACGGCTAGCAACTCTAGTATATCCTTATTGTTATTGATAATCAAACAGAGTATTTAAAAAAGAGGACATCCAATCATACATAAGCTGCATTTTTGTTTCTCGTCTGTATAAGGTAGATATTTCTTTTTAACTGAAGTAAGAATTGCTACATTAAAGCTTGGTGTCTACAGATCTATTATTTCATTAATAGCACTATCCCCCTGATTTTATCATGGTCATTGTTTCTTTCATTTTTTTGCTTTGAAATATTTTTACCAGATAACATTTATACAGGAATTCTTAATTTGTTATCGTTATTTAAATGAATTCTCGCGATCAATATATATGATTTCTACTTGTCACGTCGATGCTGTCAAATTAACAGTCTGACTATCCCAGGATTACCATGAATTTGACATGTATATTTACATTATAGTCTAGTTGAATATCTATAATGATTCCATAGATTTCATTCGGTAAAATTACAACATTGAAAAAATTCGTAAGGATAGTAATTACATGATATATCGATATGTATGATGTGAAGATAGGATAACTACTAAAATGTTCTCATGAGAATATCAATAATTGAAAAGTATCTCGCTCATAATAGTCTTTTGTATTTATCTCTTAGTTGATCAAGTAAATCTTGCCATTCCGCTTTTTCTTTTTCCCAAATTCCTTCTTCTTTGACAATACACTCATATTCGTCTGCTAATTCCTCATTATTAAGATTACCAAGCTTATTTTCTAATTCTCGAATGTAATCTTTAATACGATGAATTAAGAGGATTATTTCTTGTTTTTGTAAACGAGAATCAACCGTTTTTTCTCGAAAATAACGAGCAAGAGAAATTGCGGCGAACATTCCTTTATCCATTTCTCGAAAAATATAGAGTTTCAATTTCTTCTCAAATAAATCTATAACTTTAGGGTCTAATTCTAGTTCTTCCACGGATGATTGTAAATACTTTTTGAAAACCTCAGGTTTAGGATTAAAGTAGTTGTCAACTTCATATTCGTTCACAAATTTTTTTATATCTCTCTGGAATTCAAGATATTTAGGTTCCTCAAACGAAGAAATTATGAAAATAAATGGTGAAAAACTAAGGAAGCCAGCCAGTTTAAACATTATATATTTTTAATATTGGACTAAATTATTTTTCCCGCAAATTTATATTTAGCTACTCCAACATGATTGGCTGAAATATAAATTTATCGATTAATAATATCATAATTTAAATACGAAAATTTCTCAGTGTATTATTATACTTTCACATTATCGTATATCTTCATAATGATAAATATAATCAAAATCTTACCAGACGATAATTTGTTGACATCATACAGTGCATACAACTTAGTTCCGACAAATAATATTTTAAGCGGCCAAATTTTAAATGTCAATTATTTGTCACGTGATTAGTCTATATCGTCATTTATTGGTTCATGTGCACGCACGTGATTTCGTAATAGCTTAATAAAAAAAAAATAAATTGTATTATTGTATTTATGTTAATACTAATAAATATCAAAAGTTTTATTTATATTTAGTAACATAATGTAATACTTTTTTATTTATTAATTATGAATTGATACAAAAAGATATCTCAGATAAATATTAATAGATTATTTTTTTAAAATAAAGTTTTAATTCTATCTTATTTAATTAAACTATTAGGTATTGGAATTTATTTAAATTTTTATTATATTTCTTTTATAAAAAAAATTTTTACTAATAATAACTTTTTTTAATTATTATTTCATTATATTTAATTTAATTAAAATTAATATAAAAAATTATGAGTTAATGCAAAAAGATTTGTATCTCAATATAAAAATTAATAATTATTTTTAATAAAAATCATTCAAATTTTAATTAATTCTTATAATTTTTTTATATTAAATAAAAAATAATCTAAATTAACTTTTTATATTAT